GAGGGGATTGAAGTTTCTGAACGGGAATCGGGTGGTGTTGGGGGTAATACGATAGCTGTAGATGGAATTGATGATGAAATGGATAACTTTGTAGGAGAGGGTGGTAAATTATTATTGTTCATGGGCCTTCTCGATGAAATTGGGCACCTACAGAGCGGACTAAAAATACGAGAAATTTAGTCAAATTTAGTCGAGTTAAAAGTCAAAAAGAACCTTTTTTATTAATATATAAATACCATAAATTCATCATTTTAGCACATTCCACGCAAAATCCATCATGATTACATGGCCCCAGCGTAATGCAAGGAGGCATTGCAAAGCAAATAGAACATTGTGCATCAAAATCATCTTCGGTCGTCTCAAATTGTTGTTTCAAGCTAGAACTTATGGACATTGATCGGTAACGTTAAGTTCTCCAAACTCTCTTTTGTATTGAATCACGGAGTTCTGCTGATAGTTGAACATGATTATTGAGCTTTTCAAAAGATAATGATGACGGTGGATATCTTAAAAAAAAAAAAAGAGTATTTGGACATTTAGACTAATAATAAAAATAGGTATAATAATGAATTATGTCTGCAAAAATTACCGAAATTTCTCGGCCCCAAAATTGACAACAGCTTGTTGATATGAAGTAAATGACAAAGCAGGATGCAGTCCACTTTCGGCCAATTTTCGAAATTGAGCAATGTTAAGGGGATGTACCATTCCTAAATCTTTGCCATTGAGATAAAAACGAACACAACCGAGGTTAATGTCCATGTATACACCCACAATATCTCCTATAATTCGTTGCATATAGGTAATAAAAAAAAAAGATTAGTTATTGCTAATAAAGAAGACAATCAACGTATACATAATTACACGATACCTGGTTTCCATGGCGAACTGCCACCATACGGTACAGATATACCGTTTGCCTAAAAAAGTATAATTTATTATATTTGACATTTTATATTTATTGCTTATCCATTTGATAAATCTTACCCATAAGATATTTCTACATCCATCATATGCAAACCCGTACTAATAATACAAAAATTTTTGTTATATATTTTAAAATTGCATGAATTAAAAAATTACACAATTGTATAGTGATACTGACATGATCATCACCGATACCTGTACCTTCTTCCGGTCCGAACGTACAACGTTTGGTTGCATATCCGATCTAACGATTTTTAAATAATACCACACAGCAATTATTCAGACTGTATTTTATAGGAGCCGCTAAAGATGAATATGCCTGAACAAACCTGCATAATACCATTGGTGAGCAATAGAACTTCATAAAACCATTTTCCAGAAGTAACTCCAGCCGTAGCACGAATTGATTCGAATGCAAAATTATCATTCCTTATCTATAAATATTAAATTTAATTGATAATAGGTTTAGGTAAAAGATTCAATATATAACTTGTCGAAAAATTAATACCTCCAAACCATTTGGTGATAGTTTCCAATGAGCAGTGGCATCCAGGGGGTTCATCATCACATTTATGTTATGATTGGTCAAACTATCATCGGGATTCCATATATTTCGCTACAAATTAAAACATATAATATTTATAACGTTAATAATCAAATTTGATATTCTAAAATAGAAAAAAGACAAGGAAAAAAAAAAACTTTATACCTTGCCAGAATCTGATTCGTAAATAAATAAAAGATTTATATAAAAAAAAATTATTTTAATATATGACCAAAATTAGACATCGCTAATGAACAACTGTATTAAAAATAGCTCAACATTTATGACTGTACTTGCTGTCCAAATCCCAAACTATTATTCAAATCCAAACTGTTGGCCAGACTATTATCTCAAAACTTTATCAATAATCTTCATTCAAACGAATGTTCTCGTAATTATATATATGATATATTTGCAAACTATATATTTTTTTTTTTTTGGATTTAATTTTTTATAAATGAATTTTTTTTTTTTTTAGATTTGGGATTTGTCAAGATTTTTCCGGCAAGTATAGCTATGATAAATCCAAAAATTATGTGTGACATACCAAAAGTGTTTTTTAAAGCCCATTCTACACAAAATTTTAATTGTTTTTTACGATAAACGTCATATGTTGAATTTTCGTTTGAATATAATTCTTTTAATAGTACTTGTAAAATTTTATGAATATCTTTTTCAGCTGAAAGAATCTTTTGTTTATTTTGCCCTGTCATGCCAAATTTTTCTAGTGCGATCAGAGCAAATAATCGCACTCTTGGATCATTATCATTTTGGAGATAATCCAATAATGTATTACATACATTATCTGTAAATAGTGATAAGCTAATTTCACCTATTCAATAGATTATTATTTATTTATAATAGCTTTGGATTTTTGCTTTAATTTTTATCAATTGATTCCCACCTGCCAATTTCTCAGCAAGAACACTCCACATGATTGAGACATTAACTCGTATACGTTTCTTTGGCTTAATTCGACCTAAAAATTATAAAGTTTTGGATAAAAGATTTATATAGTTCTAAAAAAAAATCAATAACGCGAATATTAAAAATTAAAAAAAAGTAATTCATACATAAACCTGGTTTAAGTTTTTGAAGTAGTCTTGTCGTTATTTTATGTGATGTTTCTTTAGAAGGAAGAGCCGCACTATCTATTTTTTATAAAGTATCTTTTTTTCAGAAAATGTATAATAGTTCATAAATTTCTTTTTGCTAAAAAAGAATCAAAAAGTAAAAGTATTTACCAATAATATGGCACAAAAAGGCTGAGGCCATGGGCGCTTCCGAAAGAACATCAGCAATAACCGTGATTAGTTCAATGAATTCGTTTTCTATAATATTACAATTTCAAGTTTTTTTAAAAAAAAAGCGTGTTATTAAAGTAATGCTTAATATTTTCACGAATATTCAAGACTTTAGCGAAGAAAAAAGAAAAACCTTCATGAGACATTGATATGAGAGCTTCCAGAGCGTCAATTAGTTCATCGTGTTCACTTAGACTATTCAAATTTTTCCAGGCACTACGAATGAAAGTTTTTCGAGAAAAACGGCCCAAAATGCGTAATACGAGTCTTTGCATTGGAATTGTTTGGAAAAACATAAAAAAATAACTTTATTTTAAAAGAACGTATCTCAATGCAAAAATAGATATATATAAAATGAATGAAAAAAATTTTATTTCGAAAAAAGAAAGCCTCAACCAATTTCTTTCTTTAGCATAAGCCGCATGTTTCGAAACTATTATTATTTTTGAGATACTTTTAAGTGACTTTGTGAAACATTATTGTCCACATGTTAGTACAGTACATCTTTTTTTTATCTATTTATATATAATACAACGTCGTCTCTTTCTAAAATCGTCATTTTTTTCCAATACGTAATAAAGAAAAAGAGAGAAAGCTTCTTTCATTCATTCATTTTACTCGCAATGTCGAACATTGTTGAGGCTGAACAGCATAAGAAGAAAGGGAATTCTCATTTTAGTAATAAAGATTATAACAAAGCTATCGCGGAATATACTTTAGCTATTAATAAAGCTCCTAATAACTCCGTTTATTATACAAACCGCGCGTTATGTTACTTGAAAATGAAAAACTATGGCAATGTTATAGCAGACTGTGAAATGGCTATTAAACAAGATTCTACTTCGGTTAAAGGATATTATATGTTAGGTCAAGCTTTAACAGAACAAGTTGATTTTGACACGGCTATTTCAAATTTACAAAAAGCATATGACCTTACAATTGCAGATAAAGGAGTTTTTTCTGCTGAAATTGTTCAAGCTTTATTAAATGCTCGAAAAAAGAAATGGAATTTAGAAGAAAAAAAACGTATTGAACGAGAATCAGATTTATTAAGATATGTTAAAGGTTTAATTAACGCGGAACGAGAGAGACAACTTCAAAAAGTTTCATCGAAAAGTAATATGTTTTCAAAAATTGTTAGTTCACATCCTCCTGATGTTCAAGAAAAAATGGATATTATTAATCAAGCCCACAACGAAAAACTCTCTCAATTAGAACAAGTATTTAGTCAATCTGATGAAAATCTTAAAGTTCGAGATTTACCTGATCATTTCTTGGACAAAATATCTTTCAATATTATGCATGATCCAGTTATCACTCCATCAGGAATTACATATGAAAGAGCACATTTGAAAGAACATTTTAAAAAGATAGGACATTTCGACCCATTGTCAAGGCGTGAATGTCGAGAAAGTGATTTATATCCAAATTTAGCAATGAAAGAAGCAATTGAAGACTTTTTAAACAAGAATGGTTGGGCTGCAGATTATTGAGACATTTTAAATTTTATGATATTAAATATAAGACAATTTTATGAGGTCGAAATAGTAATAGTACATTAGAATTTTTTTGTTATATTGATATAAATTGTGGTAATGAAGAATCAATGAGGATTGCCTATTGTTTTGCAATTTAATACTTCATATTTGTAATATTACACTAATAATGAAATTTCAAATAAAAATTAAGATAATGCACAAATTCTAAAAAAAAAAAAAATTCGACAAATAATTTTCAAATTTATTTTCTAACAAAATTGGTTCTGGCAATTAACAGACAAAATCACGTAATTAGAATTAACTTTTTCGCTTTCCACTTTCAATATTAAGAAAAAGTGATAATATGCAACAATATAACATACATATAACTAAATTTAAGCAAGAATTTAATCCAAATTTTCATTAATTTGAGTGAATTCACTTTTTCTTACTAACAGATTTACGTCCACCACCTCGACTACCCTTTGTTTTGGTACCAGTTGAGGTACGACGAGTAGCAGCAGCTCCAGACTTTTGTTTAATAAATTTATCTTTGGATAGATCCTCATCATCGTCACTAACAACTTCTTCATCTTCTTTGACAACTTCATCAACTTCAATTGCATCTTCAAAATCGGGAGCTGCATCAGCACTAGCGGTTTTTGAAGATTTAACTGATGAAGCTTTGAGGAAAGGTACAGGATGTGATGATGAATTATATCTTATAGAATATTAAAAAAGTTAAGTCAATCTTGTTGAATCAGACTAGTATAAACCATATCTTTTATATGAAATATATTTTACTTTTTTGTGAAGGCTGTCTTAACACTTTTATCAATATCTTTTAATATTTTATCGCCTCCAAAGCTTAATTCCATTATTGCATCCCAATCATCTTTGCTAAGATAATATTGGTCCATTAGCTCAATCACTTCGGCAATTCCCTCCTAAAAATAAAAAAATATGCATCTTAAAATGATTATCACGTAAATTAAAAACATTAAATAACATTGTCTTACCGATCCTTTTTTGATTAGTGGTTGAGAGAGTGCAGTAAATAAAGCAGGAAGATAACTCTGGCGAATTTCATTCTTATCTCCAGAAATTTTTAATCGCATATGTATTTGTACCTCTCTTAAGATACGTTTATATTTGTTAGTTTTAGAGGTTTGACCCAGAAAACTGTCAATAATCAAATATGAATATGTGAATATCTGCAAATGATTTTTAATAATAAATATTTTTAATTATGAATAGTGATAAGTATCGAAATCTTCGGGCGTATTGTCCGATGTATATCTCGATACGAATCAGTTTATACCTTGGAAACGCGTAACGAGCACCGCTAGTATTACTACCATGAACGTGATATGTTGGAATAACACAAGAAAACATGCCTTGAACTGGCATAAGAGTCCATTGTGGCTGGGATCTAAAATATACATAAGAAAAATGGATATAATAACTTGTACTTCTAATATCTTAATAACTATGAAACCAAATTACTAACCCATGAATCATCGAAGCACATATGTCACCATCTGATATAGAGGCTGCTGCTTTACTTATGGCATCTAATGTAGCAAATTTTTCAAGTTCCTTCGGATTTACATCCTCTCTTTCGATGGTGGTTGAAGTAATATGAGGTTTAATTTTTAGATAATTTTCCTTAAAATAATTAATAATAGATCAATTTTACGCAATTCATTGTTGTAAAAGGTTAAATATATATACAGAAACTCACTTGAATCATTAACGGTACAATATCTGGTTCATGAAAATATAATTCCAATTTATCATTTAAATTGCCCGCGCGGTTATTCCATATCGAAGTACCAAAAAGCCGTGTGGTAATTTCGAATGGATCTAAAACTACATTCTTTTCTGATGCTTTATTTCTAGATCACGTAGAATATACACATTATTATTATTATTACTATTATTATACTAATAAATTCTATTAGGAACTAAGTAACATACATAGCCTTGCCCTCATCATAATTAATGCTATCGTTTGCCAATTTCCAAGAAGACAATCTATTTAAAATTTGACGAACATCAGCATTCGCACCCGTGATAATCGTATCCACGATATTTGGTTGGCTAAACTTAAGATTTTCCCTAAAGATAACATAGGTATATAATTGCCCGAAAGTAGAAAATATTAAATAATAAAAAAGGATATATTTCAAAAAACCTTGACGCTATAGTCATGATTCGTGAGCGGACTTGTTCAACACGGGGTCTGATAATTATAAATTGCACATTAGTGGATATAGCAGTTATCTATTGATATGTAACGTACCATTTACTTACTTTTGAAATCTAATCTCCTGACAAACATTAGTTAAAGATTGTAGTTTTTTTCCTTTTTCATTACAAATACAGATAATCGGAACCTTGAATAAAATAAAAAAATGTTTTTTTTATAATTGCATTTTTCACTCAAGTATTATGATTTATACATATATATTTTTAATATATACTTGAGTTTTCTTGATTAGTTGAACAAGTTCAGCAACGCCACCTCGATCTCCAGCGGACATGCCATCAACCTCATCCATGATTATAAGAGTTCTGCTCATTTTTTTCGCCTTCTAAAATAGAATTGTTAAAACAAACATTGGTCCCTTTTGAAATCAATTTATATTATCAATTCTACCTCAGTTTCAGGTTGAAAAAATCCCGTGATAGAAGTATTATGTGTGGCAGTTTTAACAGCCATCTAATAAATATTGAGTTAGATAAAAATAAAAATAAAAATAAATTAAGTCCTTGAAATGAAACATACTTCCAGCGCTTTTTTACTGCGAGTATCACTGGCGTTAAATTCTTTCACATCATAACCTTCAAGTTTGCCAATTAAGTGTGCAGCCGTGGTCTACATTAAATACATTATTTGAATATTTGCCAGAAATATTACATAATTAATAGAGCATGAAATTGTTAACACGTGTTTAGTACTTTGCCAATCCCTGGAGGACCAGACACTAAAGCAGCTGGATACTTTGAATTAAAATCGAATCCACTTTTTAGATTCGACTCCCTAAAGTTTTATCCGATCAAAAAAAAACACTTTAACATTTTTCCTACTAAAAAATTATGGCAATAATATGACATAATATGACATAAATTACCAAGTCTTAAGCCATTTTTGGAGATTTTCAACAGCAGATTTGTTCCCACACACCTCTTTAAGAGATTTTGGTTTATATTTGTCAGACCATAATTGAGATAGAAGCGTTCTAAAAAAAAAAAGCCAATTGTAAGAATACTGGAATAAGGCAAAAAAAGCATATGTCTATATGGGAGCCGCCAAGAAAAAACCTGCAAATCTTATCTAATAAGATTTGCAGGTTTTCTCTTGGCAACACTCATATAAAAATCATTATATTATAAAATAACACACGTGCTAGAAGAACTAGGAGTGGTGGGTATTGGATCTGAAATTTCCATAGCATCCGAAGCACGTGATTTTCCTTTCGCAGAACTGGGTTGAGGGGGTTCAGTAGATTGTGCAGGAGCGTTTTTTATGAGGTCTAATAATTCATCTTCAGTCAGGGTCTGAATATTATGCTGTTTGATCTTTTCTAGTTTTTTCGGACCAGGATTGTCACCAACAACAACATAAGTAGTACGTGAACTTGGGGTTGTGGTGACTTTCCTAAAAGTAGAAATTATATAAAATTCCATAATGTACATTTCTCTAATTAAAACTATTTCAATTACTTACCCTCCATAACGTTTAATGAGATCCTGGGCGTCTTCTCTTGAAAGAGTTTCTAAATCACCAGTAAAGACAAACGTTTTCCCCTTAAAAAATGATAAGATATTTTTTTAATCAATTAAAGAAATGCAAAAAATACACAAAATTAAGTAAAAAATTTAGAAAAGATAAAGCCTACGAATAAACAATTTTCTGCGCCTTCAGGTACTTCTTTGGGCTCTGATGGAGGTGGAGTAGTTTTCGGCTGCTTTTTTTTGGGAGCCTCTGAGTAAGAATCATCTTCTTTTGCTCTCTTAGACGTTCTGGATTTACCAGGATCCACTTTTGGTTCTTCGGGAACATTTTCACTTTGATCGAGATTAGTATCCGTTTTTGGAGTCTTTTACGCGTATACAATAGTGTAAAACTCGATCAGTAATATAATACGCGAAATAAATAATAAATTGACTTCATTTAAATACCTTCTTCGCGTTTTTCTTAGAAGCACCACTAGGTGCATTAAAGTATTTTCGAATATCCGACATCTTCGTTCTAAAATAAAGGTAAATTATAACCAGTGGGAAAAGATTGAATCTTATATCTGATATCAATACCTGTTATTGTCATCTGATCCAATGATCTGATTTATGATTTAATTCGTAAGACACCAATAATTGATATTTTGATTTTTTTTTATCCTGCGTAAATGACTACACCTGCTGTGCCTATACTTAAGAACCTATATACGCATCGTACCGCAACAACAGAGCGACCATGCTTTGTGTGCAATAAATATACGAATGCAGTTTTAACCACAGATAATGGGTTAGATTGGTTTTATACTTGCACTAGGTTAGTTTAATGCAATTATTTTGAATAATGAACAATTATTTTTTTCATAGGCTTTCGATAAACGAAAAAAGTATTATATCAATTAAATTCTAGCGTAAAGCTTGCATTAATATGAAGTTATGACTAATATTTGAACTTTATTTCCAATAAAGTCACTTGGATGATCGTGGATTCGCTACGGCATTTCCTGAACCGGAAAAAATTCCTCCAACACCACCGAAATCAAAAGAAAAAAAGGATCCTACCAAAAAAGAAAAAAACGAAGACAAGACAGCTAAAAACGAAAAAGATTCCAAAGATTCGACAAAGACTAAAGACGAGAAAGATGAAAAGAATAAAGATGAAAAGGATACGGATGGAAAGAATAAGGATGAAAAGAATAAAGTTGAAAAAAGCAAAGATAAAAAGGAAACGGATAAGGAACAACCACCACCTATTCCATCACCACCTAAGCCGAAACAGTATATTTTACATAGAGATATATTTTATTTGCGAGAATCCAATCTTAACAAAAAACGTCGAGAAAAAAAAGTACAAAACTTGTTGGAACAACTTCCTAGTGTTCCAAAAACATCTTTACAATAACTTAAATTTAATAATAATAATAATAATAATAATAATAATATAGTATATAATACTGTAATATATATCTAGTAATATCTAGTAATATTTAGTATTTAAATTAACGATTTATCTTTCTTGTCTGTTATAAACCACTTCTTTCATATTTCTCGTATTTATGTTGTTTTAATTCGCTATCTGAATCTTTGTCAAAATGAGCTGCCAAAATTAATTAATGATAATGAAGTCAATCTAAAATGGTTGATCAATATATATATATATAATATAATATAATTACAACTTGCCATATTGAAAACATCCTTGACAATATAAATCATCACAATCTCGGCACTTGATTACTGCATCTTCATTACAAATACCTATAAATTTAAATAGTCAGTATCTAATTTCTAAATTACTAGTTATTTGTGTATAGTATACGAATAAGTTGAACTGACAACACCAAGTATCCGGATCATCATCATCTTCAAACTCAGATAATTCCAAGGGCTTTGGTGGAGGACCTAATGGGCTAACGTGTACCTTTTCACTACTAATTGAAGATAATTTTACGCCACTTTCTTTTAACAATCTATATCTTTCTTCCAAATCGTTGTAGTCTGATATATTTTTGTCTCCTTCATTACCATACTTATTTTCTAGATAAACATCATCTTGTATTTGATGTATAAGATCTGAAGCTACTATGTCATCTTCACGATTATTTTCATCATTATCACCCAAAAATCTCGAAACAATGCTGTCTAATTTCTTTTGATGTGGAATAGAAAATAATGATTCATCATCTAATAAATTCTCTTCGGATAGCAATAATTGTTCGATCTTTTGTATAATAAAAAATTTACATATATAGATTTAAATAATAAGAACTAACAGCTTAAACAATAACCCTTAAAATACCTCCTCGTCATTCAACACATTTTCTGCAGGTAATTTATAGGTTCTATCTTTTATCACCTCTTTTGTTTCAACAGTTATTTGACGACCAAAAAGGTTTGTAAACCTTGCTGACAATTCTTCTTCAGTTTCAATATTGTTATTTGATTTCCTTAATTCTCTGAGACGTCTCTCAAGGTCAGAATAATCATCATTATGAGGTGAAAACGACATTTTATTCAAATTTTGAACATTAACTCGGCGTATTACAATCTTCGACTGTACGTATGACATAAATTTAGCCAATAATAAAAAATTCCGGAATATTGCAAAAAAAAAATATTTTGTTCGGAGCATATTTCTATGCGCTTTTGGTGACCAAAATTACGATTTTGATTTTAATCAATAAAAAATATCAAAAACGTAATTTTACATATATAATACATAAAAATTTAAGTTCCGGACTTATATACCAGTATGATATTGAATAATAACCAAAAATTGGGATTTTTACTCAGCATTAATACAGTAATAAATCATAATATTCTCTGCAAAGTTATAGATTTATCTTAACGAATTATTTAAATCTACGGAAATGAAAATAGTAACCCACGTAAAAAAAAAAAGATTGTCAATTAAATCGTATCATAAAAATCATTTTTCATTGCTCTTGATCAAAATCGAAGATTTTAACAATTCATTGGTCTTAATGCCGATTTTTTGAACAACTTATTATTATATAGCGGTCGAGTGAAATGTCTAATGATTTGCATTTATATAACAAGATTTGCAGCGCACAGGATACAGTTGCAGTATCTAATATTCGATTCTTTGAGCAGAGACTCAACTGACTCTTCGGATCGAGTCGGTCAAGCAATTATGTAAAAATTACCGATTAGACTATCACATCAAAAAAAAAAAAATTTAAAAAGCAGATTTCAAATAAAATACTTGAACAATAATTCATAAAGTTTATGAATTCATTTGTATTTACTCTGTTAAATAATTAAAAAATACAGTAAATCTAATGTTTTGATGCACAAATATGAATATTAAAAGCAAGAGGATATGAATTTTTTTTTCTTTTTGTTTTTATTATACTGTAAGTATGCAGTATTCGTATATTAAATGCATAAACAATGATGAAAAAAAAATTGGTTATTGATAACATAACTTATTGGCTGGAGCTGAGGGAAACGAAGTGGAAGCCTTAAAGCCATACTCTACGATTTTTTAGAAATGTCCGGTTCC